CGGGCGCTGCCATCTCATTCCCTCTCCCCAGCGGCGTTATTCCTTCCTGTCTGCTTGTGTCTGGCCTCACCTGGCCCGACTGGGTGTTGTCCAACATCTCCTCCTCTCTGTCGCCTTGGGGCTTTTTTTCCTTTCCTCTATCTATAGATCCATGTTTTGGCCTTTTCATGAGAAAAGAGAGGAAACAAACCCCCGACTCTTATAGTTCTGTTCCAAATCCAGGGAACAAGATATCCTGCACTGTAGCTTTCCGTTCCTGTTCTCTTTTATTCTTAGTTTCCTTTTTTTTTTTTCCTGTTGCCTTTGTATCTTCCAGCCACCTTTTATGTGTTACTACTTCTTATCTTTCCTGCAAAGCAGTGACGCAGCAGCGCGCTTAATCGCAGAGCTGCTGCTTGGCTCTCTGCTGCGGGCGAGCACACTTGCACCGAAGGAGCTTTGGTGGGGAATGGTTTAAAGGGATCCTGGGTGGGAGCAAGCAAGTGGCCAGAATAAAATGTCTTTTAGCCTGGAAACATTTGCTACGGATCTTTGAAATCTTTTATCTTCTTTTTTTTTTGGTGTTGAGTTGTCTTTAAATGGCTTCAAGTTGCGCATGAGCAGGTTTAGATTGGATATTAGGAAAAATTCCTTCACCAAAAGAGTTGTCAAGCATGGGAGCAGGCTGCCCAGGGAAGTGGTTGTGTCACTGTCCCTGGAGGTATTTAAAAGACGTGTAGATGTGGCGCTTAGGGACATGGTTTAGTGGGGGGTTTAGTGGCAGCGTTAGGTTTACGGTCGGATCTTAAAGGTCCTTTCCAACCTAACGGATGCTATGATTCCAAATGGAGGGCAGGGGGAGAGGTGCTGTTCTACTTACAGCTTGGGTTTAGCTGGTGTGCAAGCTGTGGATGTTGCAGAGGTATCTGGGTATCAATTCCTTTCGGAGCTTGCAGTCAGTCAGGGGATTTTTCTTTTTTATATTTCTCCCAGCACCGTTCTTAGGGAGGAGTTCGCATCTGCGTGTGACGGCTGTCCCACGCAAAGGCAAACGGTCAATGTTGCCAAACCCTGTGCCGCTGCCAGAAATTACTTCTGAACTTTAGCTGTGGTGGTTGCCTTTGCTGGCAGAGGAGGATGGAAGCAGGTCCTCGGTACGGGAGGTTTCAGCAGCAGTCGCTCTGTGTTCTGTCAGCGCAACTACTCACGCTGCTCTGAAATTCTTGGGGACATCGTAGGACGTTTACCAGCGGTTAAGGCAGTTTTATGAAGAATATTACATTGAACAGATTTCAATACTGTTATTAAATGGCATTCTTGACTGGGTGCCATTTTCCGAGGTCATGGCTTATTCTCCGCACGGAAATTAAATTCAAAACCTGCATTTTTAGATAAGGTTATGACTAAAACCAACTCAAACAGGGTAGCAGAGAGGGACGATATTCAGTGGTTGATGCTTTTCTTGCTTATCTGGAACAAAGCTCCCACTGTTTCTCAGTGAAGGCTGCCTGACAGCAGGTCTGGAGGCCATCCTCCTCCAGGAGCATCTTCTTTCACCCCTCATTCCTGAAGAACAAATACCCGAAGGTGGGCAACTCCTGTCAAATAATTCAGATCAGTCCAGACCTTAGCATGGTTTTCGTTTGAAAGCAAAAAGCCAACAGACTTTTGTATTCCCTGTTTTTGATTAATAAAAGGGAAGTGCCTTAAAGGGTTGCTATTCTGGAAACTTGCATTAAAGAGGAGATCACATCTGTGCGTGCAGCTCTTGGGGACACGTGGACCAGGCTGGAGAGTGAGGCCAAAGGACACTCTTGCTTTTGTTTTAGTTGAGGTATCAGATGCTACACATTTTCTCAGAGTACGGACAGCAAGATTCTCACAAAGATAAGCAGAAATACTGATGAAATAAAATACTATTCTATGCCATCAGGTCCTTTCTAAGTGAGCTTAATGAATTGCTGTATTTACAGTGCTCCCTAAGAGCAGGAGCTTACAGGAATGCAGCCCATACAACTTAAGACAGAAGTCTCTTCAGGGTAGAGGATTAATTGTTTGGTTGAAAAGACCTGATAAAATAGCATTTTCCTTTGGTTCCATATGATTGCTCTCATGGAATAACCCCGGCTGTCAGTACAGAGGGGTTCAAACAGAAGACACGTAGAGCTGTGCGAGGAGAGGAGGCTTTGTCCTAGCGAGCTACGGGACAGGGTTTGTGAGGGTCACTCACTGGTCTGTCAAGCCCTGATCTTCAACACGAGAAGCTACAGTCAATATTTCACTCAATCCTGCTTGGATTAGGTGTCAGGGTGGGACTTTGGTTTGTCCTATGGCTTTACTACAGCTTCCGTGTGTTGTGAAGGGAGGTTGGTTTATGTTCCTGCGGGACGTACGTGCTGCCCTCCGTTCCCTTGCTGGAGGTGACAGTACGTGTCGTTTTGTGCTGGAAAAGTCCCCGTTCACGTGCTGTAAGATTGCATGAATATCTGTCTGTCATTAATGACTCGTTAGCTTGTGGCTGTAGTCCATTACAGTCTGGGGTGCCCTGGGCATGCAAGTGTTTCTCAGAGGAGCAGGCTCTGATTGCACCGGTGGTCCCAGCGTACTCAGCAGGACCACTACATGAGGAAAGAGTACCTATATGTGCCCGTATCAGTAAAGACTCGCAGGATCAGGCTTTTATAGATGGTGGGATTCTTCTCTTGGCAGTGCTGAGCCTCCTGAAAGCCCTCTGGCTGCGAGAACTGAGGACAGTTAAGACTATTCAAGAGTTAGGTGGTTTCTGAGTTTGTTTAAAGTCCTACTGATAGCAATGAAAAGGTCTGCGTTGTCTTTGGTAAGGTTTTATATGCCATAGCTCCTCACAGCTACATCTTCTGTCTACAAACAGATTAGATTATATGAGTAAATCCTTACTCTTAGTGCTGGAAGGAGGTCCTCTGCATTTTCCTACCTGCAAGTCTAACCTGTAGCCTTTGGCCAACAGGCATGAAGTCTGTGCCAGGGGCAACTCTTCCCTTTTCTCTTGAACTGTAAAAAGGTGAAGGCATTGTACATTTTCTACATCAGCCACAAGGTCCACAAGTGTTTTCTTACTAAGTGATTAAGCTTTGTGCTTCCAAATAACACACAGTCAAAATGATCATTCCTAGAAAATAGTTCAGTAAATTAAGCTAATCCCAGCAGCTAGACAATGGCTAGTATAAAGCCCCCAGTAATCAGGTTGTAAGAATGTGTCTTTCAGCTTCTTTGTTCTTTTGGTATAATGAAATTCTTACCAACTTCATGTGGGTAAAGTTGCATAAATCTGACTCTGAGCCTCAGCACGTCTTCTCTCACTCGGTTGTACTACAGTAGGTTTTCTCTGATTTCACGTTTCCTCCAAAGCAGTAGGTGGTAAGTGAGTGTGCCTTTCACGTCAGCGAGCATCCCGTGGCCTCCCTGTCGCTGCCATCGCCGCGGGATGACGGGTTTGTGCCTGTCTTAGAAATGGGATGATCCGTGGTACTGGTCTGGGTGAGGCTTGGGCAAAGTCGTGCGGCAGAACGTCAAGCTTGTTACAAAACTCTTTCTGCAAAGCAGTGTCAACGCTCTTAGTCCAATATCCGAGATAGTGAGAGATAATTGAGACCATCCCATGTGCCTGAGGGTGTTTCTGTGCCTCAGAGATGGAATTGGTGCTGGATCATCTTTCTGCATATAAATGACACATGGCAATTTTTCAGGCATATCTATGGCTCTCTACTAAATCCTGGTGAGTTGAAAGTAAAATGTATTTACTCAGTTTATACTTTAAGCTTAAAGTAAAACTGTGCTTCGATTGCGGGAGAAGGATAGCTTTCTGTTTCCCAGAGGGGTATATAAGGTGTCTTGGAGGTGTTTCCTCCATAGAGAAAGGCTTGCTTGGTATTTCCCCTGAGCTGCAAAGCAGCCATGTTTATCACAGATTGTTATTCTCATGAGGACATGGGTGCACATGAGTAGCACGTGTGTATGTGAGGATGTAACACAACTTTGTTCCCTGCTCATGGTTGAGCCGGGAGTCCCAAGATAACTGCCATCAGGGACTAATAAAACCTTGAAATGATTGAGATTTGGTGAGGAATGATGTCCGTTCAGTATTGCTCCATTTAGGAATGGAAGATACTCAGCCTGACCCTAGAGGTTGGAAAATTACCGCTGAAATCATCTATATAGACGTCTTGGGCACCCTGAGTGTGAATTATATCACACACACACTGCTGGTATCCAATCCCCGTGTTGAACATGCACATGGGATAAATAGATCCATCTGATGCCCTCATGAGATCCACAGAGAAGAGTCCCGGGTTATTCTCTTCTGGTTTAGGTGTTTGATTGACATTCCTCAGATTCCCTTGGCAGTTGGCTGTAGCCAACGGGGCTATAAAAGACGGCCAGGGCAAGCATGTCTGTTAGGCACCTGAAGATAGTCAGGACAACACCCAGCAGGAACAGTCTGGCGCATGAGAGACTTTATATATAAAGGCAGAGTTTGAGGGCGAACTTGTTGATCCCCGCCTGCAATGCAGGCACACAGGGAGAGGTGAGCATGTCCTCAGCGTCCTTCCTCAACTGGTAGGACTCAATAAGCTTAAGTGGAGAAGCTCACTGTTTTTTCAAACTCCAGTTAGCTCCCTTTTGGGTTTTTTTTCTTTCAAAGAGATGCAGTCTGATGGGATGCTGCCTCGTCCTACATGTGGTCCTTCTTACTTGAAGATAGAGGACAGACCTGAAATCAAAATGTGCAGCAGTGATTCAACTCCAATATACTTGTTCTTCCCAGATCAGTACTGCTGCTTCTGAAGAACCCCACCTTCATCTTCCTCTGCTTAGCGGGAGCGACCGAAGCCACCCTCATTGCTGGGATGTCCACATTTGGACCCAAGTTCCTGGAGTCTCAGTTTAGTTTAAGTGCCTCTGAAGCTGCTACCTTTTTTGGTAAGGAAACCAGGTTTTTGCATTATTTTGCCTGCAAAGAGAAGAGCACTGTAGCTCATTTGGAATGGAGACATGCTTTGCAGCTCCTTCACAGGGCTGTTACCGTCTTCAGTTATTAGGATTGTTTCCAGTCAGCGCATCTGTACCAAGTGTGTTTTCAGAGCTGTATCTTACTGACATCAGGAGGAAACATGTCACTTCTGTAGTCATCTGTTACGCTCTAGAGGAAGGCAAAATAATTGTAGTCTCTTCCTTCTAGTGCATTACCAGGAAACATTAACTAAATGTTTCCTCTAACGAGGGGTGTCTGAACTGGGGGACATGTCAGCATCCCGACACTGGGAAGATCCTCACTTAGCTGCCGTATCGTAGACCAAAGAAGTTGAGTCCATCAAGCATCAATACTGATGATGTGCTCCTCAAAGAGTCTGTTTTAAGATCTCTGGATAGGAAAAGCTGCCTTACCAGCTCATGCCACATTCCCTGAGCTGTTACAGATGACCACCTACGGTAGCAAAGTCCACTGAACTCCCACCAAGAAGCCACACAGCAACCAAGGGGTTATTCTCATGCATACACGCTGCAGTTAATGTACTCAGACATGAAGAATCCTTGCTGACGTTTCTAAACTTGCTTGTGGGTTTTTGTCCCCTTTTTTTCAGGTTATCTGGTTGTGCCAGCTGGAGGGGGAGGCACATTCCTGGGAGGATTCCTTGTGAATAAATTTAAACTCCGCTGTTCAGGAATCATCAAGTTGTGTTTACTTTGCACAGTGTTGAGTCTTCTGGCTATATTAATTTTTTTTATTCACTGCCCTAACATGCCAATGGCAGGAGTAACCCAGACGTACGAGGGAAGGTAATAACAATCATCCCATCTGTCTTGTGCTACATGGCCCTGGTCAGAATTAGAAGGATAACTCCAAACATACAGTGCTGGTGGTAGTCATGTGTGAATGTGTTGGTGATGGGAGATGGTGTCCAGTCAGTCTTACAGGCAGATACTCATGGTGAGACCCAGAATATAGATGTCCTAATTTTTGCATCTAGTTGGAGTTCATGGAAGAAGCTCCCTCCTTAACGAGGGAGGGGAGATCAGCAGCGCCAGAGTGTGAGATATTCCACTCTTCAGTTGCCTTCACAAGGTCCCCCATCTCTATCCACTGGGATAAACTGGACGAAAAGTGGGATTCTCCTCTCCAAATGGAGGATTCTCCCTGTGAGCTGGTCACGTAAACTCCCTTGGTAGCTGTGGGAGAGAGACAGCTCCAGGGCATGATTCCTGTTCATGGTTAAAATTGGGTGAGATGAACCCTTTCCCAAGCCTGGCTGTATGCTACTTGGGAATCCGCCACATCTCCTGCCATCCCCCCTTCTCCTTCTCTTGCTTTACCCATTTCCTCCTGGAAAATGCTCTTCAGTGTCTCCCCACTGACTGTTCCTGTGTTTCCCTTAGCGCTTTGCCTGGTGGCCACCTAAACCTGACAGCAGCCTGCAACTCTGAGTGTGGCTGTCTACAGGAGACCTACAGCCCTGTCTGCGGGAGCGATGACGTTATGTATTACTCTCCCTGCCATGCCGGGTGCAAAAAAGTGTCTGAAAACCTCAGGAATGGCAAGAAGGTATGTTTGAAAGCACCGTGTATTAACAAGGTGGTGGCACATCTTCTTTGGAGTGATTTGGCTGGCTCTGCAAAAGTGTTCACAGGTTTGAGCTTTGCTGCCAGTCAGTGTAAAAGCCCAGTGCAGGACGGATGCTCTCAGGCACCACCTGGGATGAGGGCAGAAGGTACCCTGAGGTCACCCTGCTTTGCTTCTCCCAATGCACCCAGCTGGTTTTGCCTCACTCTGGGCCAAACTGTGCTGAAATCCATGGTAAATCACCCAGGCAGGCGGGGAGCTTGGTAGGCATCTATTTCCTGTCCCAATGCTTATTTTGGGTCTTCAGTGAACATCCTTCCAGCATGTTGTGCCCAGAGACAGGCAAAGGCTTAAGAAGGGTAATGATGGCATTACCCAGACATACCCAGACTCAACGCTGTTCAAGGGCTGCCTGGCAAAGTTAATTTCTCTTATTTAATAACCCGTTTTGAAACAGGTGTGTCAAGAATGCAGCTTGATTTCTGCTTCGCTCCGCTCTGTGAGCAAAACCGGCTGGTTTCTGCCCTCCCTGAATTTCTTTCTTTTTAAAGCTTTGACTATCACCACGCTCTCCTTGGCAAAGCTCACACCAGCATTTCTTTCCCAGGTCTATCACGAGTGTAGCTGCGTTGAGAAAACCCTCCAGCCCGGCCCTGGGGACGTGGAGGCAGGGAAATGCACCTCTTCGTGTGCGAAAAGGCCCCTGCTCCTGTTCTTCATGTTTGTGGTGATCCTCTTCACCTTCCTGAGCAGTATTCCTGCCCTGACAGCCACTCTGCGGTAAGCATGGGACCGCCTCGTCCTCCGCCTCCGCTTTATTCTTCTGGCTCAAGCCATGGGGTAGGTGTGATGGGAACCTGGAGCCTGGAGACATTGGGACTAATTCCCTTTCCTTTCTACCTGTGAAAGCAAATTTTTAGCACTGGCAGTTCTATCCTCTGAGATTGGGCACCCAGATGTGGTCCCAGTTTGCAGCAGTGGTGGGGAGACATTGCACTGGGGTGAACCTCGATCTCCAGAGGGGATGGAGGTCCCAAGTGTGCCGGACCGAGTGCGTGGCGTTGCGGGGTGGGGAGGTGCCATGCAGCCTGGCAGCATTTTTAAACAATGCCGTTTTCTTCCCCAGGTGTGTCTCCGACAGGCAAAGGTCATTCGCACTCGGCATCCAGTGGATTGTAGTACGAACGCTAGGTATGGAACGGCGTGAATTTAGCCATCGGTATAGTCCATTGGCTTTGTGGAGCGTGTGCCAAGCCGTTACCTAAGAATAAAACACGTTGGGTTGGAAAAGAAGGGGGTAGGACACATGCTGTTGAAAGGAGGATGTTTTCTCTTGTTTGCTGTCATTCAGAAAAAACTAATCCCCTTTGCGTATGGTTTGCAAACTGAACGAAGGGTTCTGTAAGATGTCGCGGGTGGGGTAGAGGAGCAACGCCCTGGCAACGTGTCCTTATTTTAAGAAAAAAGGAGCAGAGGCGTTGAAGCTCCTGTGTTTGTCTTTTGGCTCTTGCGCAACGTGTGGGTCAGGATGGTCAAAAGACTCGCTGGACTCTCAAGTCTTGAAACTCAGTGTATTTTGGGTACTTTGTGGCTCTTGGCACAGCTCTAGACGTTGTAGGATAAGTTTGCATAATCACAGTAGCAGCGGAGCCTGCTGCTTTTCTGCAAGCACCTTGTGTCTCGCAAGGCATAGGTGCTGCCCAAACTGAAGGTCCACTCTCTTCCCACAGGAGGCATCCCTGGCCCCATCGCCTTTGGGTCCATGATCGATAAATCCTGCCTGCTCTGGCAGGACCAGTGCGGTGAGCAAGGTTCTTGCTACATTTACCAGAACTCAGCCATGAGCCGATACACCCTCATCGCTGGACTGGTCTACAAGGTGATGCTGCCCCTTAACTTCACTCTCTAATGAAGTGAGCAGGTCTTTAGGAGACAGCGTTTTGCTCTGGGAGAGAATTTTACAAAATTGAGTTGTCCTGATCTGTCCCCCCGTCCCCCCCAACCTAAATTAGAACTGTTCTCAGGGAAGGCAAAAGCTCCGTTTGCTTCTCGCCAGGTAATCGTGCTCCAGGCACCATCATTCTCTTAAATTCCCATTACTTTCTAGGCTTACAGCTCCTGTTGTACCATATGAAATACCTTCTCCCAACAGTTACCAAAGTGATTTTTTGCTGGAAATGGCGTAAAATATTTAACTGCAGTGTGTTAGTGAGAGATGACATTGTGGGCAGGCTGTAAATAACAGTTCCCCAATCACGGCTAGAAAATCAGAGCGCTTAACTGTGTGTTTCGTATTTATTGGCTGAAAACCATCATTTTAACTGCTCCCAAACAAGCACTTGCCCTAGACAGTAGTGTTTAGCAGTTGCTGTGATGAAGAGGCTTTTAAAAGCCTTCCAGCAAACGGCTCGGGCGGTGTTGGTCTGCACAGCGCTGTGCTCCACGTGTCTGCGTGGGGCTGAACAGCTTTCCGTATTCTCTCTGTCCCGTTGCTATGGGGCTGCCTAAATTCAGAATTTTGCACTCTCTGGCTCTGTGCGCTGGTCTGCCGCCCAGGCTGGCCGTCAGCATCATCTCTTCCCCAAAGCTAGGTCAGCAAGTCTCATCCCAGATGAGGGCTAGGTGCCTGGTTTTGGCGGGGGGACAAAGAGTAACAAAGATGTTTTCATGGCTGCAGGTGCTCGGCACAACCTTCTTTCTAGTCGCCTGTTTACTCTACAAACCCCCGCCAACAGAATCGGCTCCGGGCAGCTCGGATGCATCTGAAAATGGCAACAGTGACCTCCAGGAGCACAAACCTTCGCTGCCGAATGAAGAGGATATATAACGCTGTATGCGTGCAAGTGACTTTCTCTGTCTCAAAAATACGAGATGTTATGCAGTCACTAGGGGTTTTTAAATTAATAGTAATATTATCACTTTTTTTAGATCAAGATAAGTAATTTAATTAACCACTGATGTGCTTGCTATTTTCTTAACAGCTGAAGCACACTTAAAATTGTGTGCCGATGCCATATGCAGTTATTTAATTTTATTTAAAGAAAGGGCTACCGTAGCTTTATTCTGTCTGTGACAAGCAAGGACCGCGTCCTCCACTCGTGGAAATAAGCACCGGTAACTCCCATGGAGCATGTGGGGTTTAAACCACCGGAGGATCTGGGCCCTGATATCTCAGTTGTGAAGCCGACTGCCGCAGAACTTCTGCCGAGACTTCCTGAGCCTGCGGAGAGCCGCGCCGTCCCGCGGCCCCGACAGCGTCCTCCTCCTCCCTGTGACACACAGCATCGCTCCTTTTGTTCAGGGGCACGTTATCTAATTATGCAAATTTGTATTACCGTGCCACGGGAGGTGGGCGTGAGATGAGATTTGTCTAGCAAATTCACCGGTACACTACAGGCAGCCAAGCCCGAGAGCTGCCGAGCACTGTACGCTCACGGCCTCGTTTCATTGCAGGGTTTACACCGTGCCGACACGTCTTTTTTTTTTTTTTTTTTTTTTTTCTTTCTTGCGTTGTTGAAAGATAATGCCTTTTGTAATGTACTGTGTAAAACTTGAAATTCTTTCTTGCTGTTTGGTGGGTGGGGGAAGACATGAGATACAGATCTATGCAATGCTTCTCTTCGGCTGCTCTGTAAATACGTTGGGTTTGGGTGGATGAGAAAAGCCAGAATGAATTGAATTTGTCTTTAGACCGCTAGCGTAAGAGAGAGCTTGCCCTAAGGACAGGCTGCCCTGTGGAAAGGGGGTGCTGACCGGTAGCTTGCAAGTGGGGAGGGCAGCATTCCCCAAATGACCTTGAATGTGCACGTGCAATATTGACCAGGACCTTTCTGAGGCGGGGGCGAAAGTGGAATTTGGGCAGGCGCGTGTCTGGCTTCCCGCTCAGCCCGGCTCAGTCTGCCTGTATTTGCGGAGCCCCGGGAGCAGCTCCCGGGCGGGCGGCCGCTGGAGTCCTGCGCTGTCTCAACCGTGGTCACGGGGACGGGACCTTCGTTGCTCAGCTGCAAAACTGGCGCTGCTTTTGTGCCAGCTGCCACGTAGAATTACTTTGTCGATGGTTTTGTATATTTTGTGTATTTATGCTTTGATAAGCGGACGGGCATTTTTTTCCCTTGTTAGCAAAGGGCCGACTCTGAGCGGAAGCCGTTCCCGTCGCAGGGAGGGG